TAAAGGATAATCGTCTTTCGGGCAAGCCTTATTTAAGTCCCTGAAATCGATACACATTCGCCATTGGCCATTAGCTTTCTGTACTAACACCGCATTGGACAGCCATGTAGGGAACTGAATTTCCCGGATGTGTCCGATTTCCAGAAGTCGTTGAACTTCCTTCTGTATGATTTCGTCTTTTTCGGTACCGAAGTGTCGCCGTTTTTGCTTGACGGGCCTGCACTCGGGTCGTAAATTGAGCCTGTGTACAGCAGTTCGCGGTGATATACCGGTCAAATCACTTGGTTGCCAAGCAAAAATATCTTCATTAGACCGCAATAACGCTATCAACTCATCCCGAAGAGGTGGTTCTAAATCCTTACTTATCCGGGTTTGTTTCATCATCCCAGGGACGAGGTCAATTGTCATCAATTCGTCCATGGGCTGTACATGATTAACTTTATCCTCTGGATCAACTCGGGGGCGCTTCTCGTCTCCCAAGTCTTCTTTGGTGAGGGTATCGCGTCGGCCCTTCTCTGCTATCTTAACCATTTCGACATAACACGATCTCGATTGGGCTTGGTCGCCTCTGACCTCTCCTACCATCCCATCAACCGGGAACTTAAGCTTTTGATGAATGGTCGAAGGGACCGCCCGAAAGGTATGTAACATTGGTCGTCCTATCACGATGTTATACGAGGTCGGCGACCCCTCAACGATGACAAAATTGACAGTTTGAGTGCGTGTTCGAGGTGGAGTTCCTATAGTGACAGGGATTTTAACTTGTCCAATCGGCGTCAGGGACCCTCCTGTGAACCCAAATATCGCTGTGGTGACGGGAAAAACCGGGAGATCAAGCTCCATTTGTAGGAAACACTCGTAAGATATGACGTCCACCGAACTTCCGGGGTCAACGAAGGCGCGAGCGACATCGTATCCTCCCACGTTAATCGTGATGAGGAGAGGGTCACAGTGAAAATCATCTAGGTCTGTTTCATCTTCAGGACTGAACGAGATAGTGGGATAGTGACGATACTTCGGTGTAGAAATTTGGCAAACTTCATGATTATTTTTTAGGCTACCGAGATGGCGTCTCCTAGCCCGGTGAGTGTCTCCTCCCGTAGGACCTCCTGAAATCATCTGAATGTACCCTCTTTTCGGCGCTGGTGGTGGGGGCGGTGCTCGTGGCGGGTGCCCGAACTGGGCTTCATGTTTTTGCCCCCGAGGGGAATCTATCTTCACAAAATCCCCAATCTTGTTATCCCTGATGAGACGTTCCACTTCGTCTTTCAGATGTGCGCAGTCGTCGGTCGTATGTCCGTATTCGTTATGAAAACGGCAGAAAGTACCCAATGTCGGATCTCGACGGGGGGCTCCGCGAGCAGTTCGAGGCCACCGCAGATCGGCTCTCTTCTCGATCGCGTATAGCACCTGGGATAGAGGAGCTGTAAGGGGCTGGTATGATTGGAACCGAGATCCCTTAGCATCCGGGACAACACTCCGACTAGGAATATTGGCATCCCTGCGAGGTAACATGGGCTCCTTGCCTCTCTTTACTTCGCTGACCCGTACGTTTGTGGCTTGGTGAGATTCCTCCACTTTCTGTTGGCGGGCTTCTTCTAAGTTAATGAACCTAGATGCCCTTTCTAATAAGTTATCGAAATCAGGTGATGGCTCCAGCGCCAGAGCTCGGAAAAATTCATCATCTCTCAATCCTTGTGAAAGGGCCGCCATGAGCACCTCGTCACTGGTAGTCGGGACTTCCAGGGTGGCCGAGGTAAACCGTTTGATGTAACTCCTGAGGCTTTCCTTCTCCTTCTGGCGGATGCTGAACAACGATAGGGAGGTTTTCTTGCACTTTTTCGAGCTGGCGAACTGGTTCATGAAGGCCTTAGCAAATTGTTCGAAAGATTGCATGCTACCGGAAGGCAACAAACCGAACCAGGCCTGCGCAGGCCCGGCTAGGGTGGTGGCGAAGGCACGACATCTCACCCCTTCCGTGAGCTGATGAAGTGATGCCGTATTGTTGAAACGGCTTAGGTGTTCGGCGGGATCCGATGTGCCATTGTACTCGAACGAAATGGGTCGGTAGCTAGCGGGTATGGGGTCGTCATCGAGGTGTTTTGCGAAAGGGTTAGATCCCACGAGATCTCGCATTGACCTGTTCCGTAAGGCCTTTAATTCGTTCATATCACGTCTCAGGCTGTCTACTTCGGTCCTGACTCCATGACTGTCGCCTCCTCGATTTTCCGAATAACTGTCGCCTTCATCATCAGTTCGCCCCTCGTTCGGAGAGCGTCTCAGGTCCCTTTTGGGTCGGTTATCCTGAGGTAAGGATTGGGCGTAATTGCGGATGGCCGTGGTGATCATGACTTCTACTTCATCTCGGGTGTACGTGCGCTCATCAGGGGGTGGAGCCGGTGCTGTAGCCGGTCTTTTCGAAGCAGCTCCAGCGCTCTGAAATTCAAAAGAAGGGCTTCCTGAAAAGAGAGGGACTCGTCTCTCTTTCTCGGGCGTGAGCAGACTGCACCCGGACTTCTCCCTCGAGGCAGGTGGCGGATCAACGCCAGGTGTATCGTGAGCTGCTGCTTCCAGCTCCTTCTGTAGGTTTCGGGTAACCGTGTCTTCTCCTTCCATTTTTTCTCCACGTTCTTAGCTCAGATCTGGACTTCCGGGGGTAGATCTGATTTTTCCCGGAAGCTGTTTTCCCAAAACTTCAAGATTTTTCCCACAGACGGCGCCACTTGATTTAGTCCGTAGGTCTTCGTCTTCCTCAAGCTAGCTCCGTCCGTACTCCGGGTGAATAAACCTGCAACGCCGGGAGGGGTTCCCGGCGGGAAAGCTCCGACGATCAAGTCAGTGATCGGAATAGAGGAAAAACGTGTATGCAATGTAACAGTGATCAGTGTATATCTTTTCGTGTATGTGCGTATGTTGATTCTCTTATTTATAGATGAGGAAAGCTTGGCTTCCAAGGCTTTCCTTTTTTAGGGTTTCCCTTTTCCCCCAAGTCATGTATCTTGGGCCTATATTGTCCTGGGCTCGCCTTACCCCGTTTTGGTATTGGGCTGGCGAGTGAAGGTACTCCCGCGAGGTTCGGAGGTTCGCGTCATACGACGACTTCGGTCATAGTACCGAACTAAGTCATCACGGGTTCTTCATTATGGGCCTATCATATTGGGCTTACCCTAATGGGTTTATGCTTATTTGTTAATTGTCAACCGAGCCCATATCATATATATATATATATATATATATATATATATATATATATATATATATATATATATATATATATATATATATATATATATATATATATATATATATATATATATATATATATATATATATATATATATATATATATATATATATATATATATATATATATATATGTACTAAGCTAGTAGTAATATACATGAATATGTAGAGTTGCATCTAGAAATTAAGTTGTACATGAATGTGGATAATCAACCGATTAAGAGAGGGGGAGTGCATTTAAAAATATTAATTAATTGCTATAATTTAGAGAGTCGGTAAGTAAGATGGAGGGGAGAATGATAAGTGTGGAAGGTAAAAGGACTCAAGAGTACTTATCAACCAATCAAGTGTGGAGTTTTTTTTTCGAATTTGTTTTCTTCAGTTTTTCCAAAAAAAAATTTTTAATTTAATTTTTCGATTTTTTTAAATCTTTTTCGGTTTTTTTTCCAAAAAAATATTTTTCAAACTTTTGTTTTCAAAAAATATTTTTTATTATTTTTCGATTTATTTTGGAAAAAAAAATAAATTTTCGATTTTTTGATGTTGTTTTATTTTTTTCGAAAAAATAATTTCTGATTTCTTTTTTGTTTTTTCGAAAAAAATATTTTTTTTTGTAATATTATTTTGTTTTATTTTTTTTCGAATTTTTAATTTTATACTAATAATTTTTTTTTAAAATAATTGGATGTGTCATTGTGATAAATAAATGAAAACTAGAAGGGCAATTGTGTCATTAACGTATCTGATCATAGCACAATAATTTTATTGGACCACTCAAGGTCCAATTACTTATCTCTCAATTACCCAAGATAAGCCATGACAAAACTAATTCGGTGGGTCGACCCGGAAAATAATAGGGCTAACCAAACATCAAACTAAATCTTACTATTTAGTTAATCTTGGCTAATCTTGTCAACAGTTTAATGGTGAAATTTATAAATGCCGAACGTCTTTGAGTAAACAACGGACACTTTGATCCAATATCAAAATCCAACACTCGCCCCCCATCTTATACTCTGCGATTCTTTTACGTAACTTTTCGACAATATTATTCTATCAGAATATCACATCGTTAATCGTCAACAATTTGAGTTTATCAAATTTGGACCATAAACGAGTAGACAAAAAGTACGGAAAGAACAATGCTCCTCGCTCAGGCGCATATACAGCAAAATTGAGCATAAACGTGTATCGAAATTCTAGTGATGCGCAGATTACTCAGCAAGGGGATTAAGCAGCTGCCCGACGAAAAGAACCACGCCGCTCACATCTTCTCTCACAACAAATAGGAATGGATGATCGGCCACAAAATCCACCGTCATCTCCTCTTCTTAATGCCCGGGACTGGGAATGGCGTATGTCTCTGGTGAGCAGTGAAGCACGTGCGGCACTAGAAGCAATGATGCAAGCTCAGTCTCAAGTGATCGATTCTCTCAAAACCGGGAGATTTCCAATGTCTTCTTATGGTGCTTTTATAGAGAATATTTTGTTAATTGCTGGTTCATTTCATTTTTGCGAATTTTCTTTTGTTAAGCAATCTAGAAACCATTTGGCTCACGGATTAGCCTCTAGCTTTGATTTAGGGTGTAATGAAGGTTCTACTCTTCCTCCTGGTTTGACTTATTATGCCCAATAAATATCTGATCTCTCTCCCAAAAAAAGGGTAACCAATAATTGTTTTAACGTGAGTACTTATTCGGCAATTAGACATTACACAGGGAGGTCTATGCAATTAATTCCAGTCATTTAGACATTAACAACAAAACCACTAGAAAATTCATTACCAGCTGTCCAAATTCATCATAATAACAAAAAGTACCTATTTGAGAAATCAAGTCAACCACCAAAAGTTCCTACATACAAAAACTATGTTAAATTAAAGAAGTCACAAAAACAAAACAAACACATGTTTTAATAAGCAATCGGATTAATTAGCTGTCCGAAGAAGACCACCACACCAGTCTTATCTTCTCTTATAGCAAATAGGAAAGGATGATCAGCAACAAAATCCAATCTCTTCTTCCTACCAAAATCACCACCACCACCAACCAAGATATTCGAAACAGCTGCAGCTTCAGTGCCTTTCTCATTGACTTCGATAAACGCCTTCTGGAAGATTCCGGAAACATAGAGACTCTCCCCATCAATAGCCGAGTCAACCATCTCGGTCAAACCACCAGGGTAAAAGGGAAGCACCACCCCCAGTTCCTTGATGACATTCATAGCCTCGAATTGAAAATTGATTTTAAATTTCGGGATCCGGAATTCGCCAACCAGAACCGGGCGGTTAGGGGTGTGGCTTTCGATGAATCCCGATTCAGAGGCGACCCTATCGAGCAGATCGGGCAGTCCGTCTTTGGCATCCGGAAGAAAGAAATACATCGAGAAACTGCGCTTGCGATCTCGACCTTGTCTATACGGTCGCCTCAAAACTTTGAAACCATCGAATGCACGAACGTATTGCTTCTCGTAGCTTGTCATGAAAGGTACTTGAACTGAGGTTCCGTTGTTGAGGAAAAACTTGCAATCTCTATTCATATATTCTTTAAATTCGTCTACCCAATCTCCTTTAAAATACACTGCATTTGCGAAGATAAGCGCCGTGTCGGCATTGATCGAACCGGGTGAGAGTATTTCTTTGATGAGGCCATTCGTTTTCTCTTCGGCCCATGCGTTCACTTCTTTTGTTACCTCAACAGCCTACAAAAAAACCGTCAATATTGTAATAACCCTATAAAGAAATACAAATATAAATCCGGGTTGTCGTTTCGGAGAGAAACTTGTAAAATTGATGAAACACATAATGAAGAAGAAGATGAATTTTTCCTATATTTCATCACTGAGTGCTTGTACATTTATATACACAGAAAAGAGAAACAATAAAAGGAACAAAATAATTACACCTAATTAAATCACCCAAGTAAGGTTTAGCTATCAATTTAAATCACCTAATTAAGGCTTAACTAAATAAAAATGTATATTGATTAAATTCCTCTAACAAAACTAACCTTGGTTCGAAAATCAACACGGTTAGCAGCAGCCATGTAAGCATTCTGAGTAATAATTCCTTCGTAAGAGGGTTTGAAGGTGAGACTGTGGTCGATCCAAACGCCGCTGGCTAAGGAAAAACGGGGCCCGCCAATTAGAGGGTTTCTTCCCTCGGCGAACACGTGAGTCACGAGCCTCGACGAGAGCGAGTTGAGTTCTTCGATGGACTTGGACTTGAGAAAGCCCAGCAGCTGGTCTCGGGTCGGGCCGTTCGACCCGGCCGCGATCATGCCCAGCGAAACCTGAATCGACAGCGGTGAGATTACGACGTTGGCGTCTCCGGCGTGGGCGGTGATGACGTGCTTTGCCAGTGACAAGGAAGCGTCGGTGAGGTTGGGGATGGGTTCTCTGTGGCGGCGGCGGTCCATTTTGAGAAGTTGTTATGCGTGGATCTGATGGTGTGGTAGTGCGTGTGATGTATTCTAATTAATGACTGTATGTTAATGTAAGAAGAGTTTCAGCAAAATGAAGAAGAAAGAAGAGAAGCAAACGAAATAATTTTAGGAATTACCTGTGCATGCAGCAGGCGCAATGAAGAAGAAAGAAGAGAGTGAAATTGAATTCTGAAAAAAGAACGAATAGTGTTATATGATATGATATGATATGATATGAAATGATTGATACGAAAGCCTACTAGCCTGCACTGCCACTCGTCGGAAAAAAACGAAGAGGAATTAGTTTCAAGAAAAATTGCAGGACGTAATCATGATTGCAATAGGGAGTATAGGACATGTCTACTAATTATTCCCGAAAATGAAAAAAGAAAAAAAAAACATAGACCTTTTTCTCAAAAATCAAAATCAACGTCACTATAAGCAGGCTTTTGAGATCCTACACCGGGTGAAATACACCGAGTAGATCTTTATTATTCATATACACACAAATACACACACACCCACATTGGTATGTGTACATCAACGGTAAAAAATCACCCGGTGTAACCTTCACCGGGTGTAGGATAGATAAAACCCTATAAGCAGCCTTGTAAGCGCATCTGAGGGGATCTCCTGTCGGCTCCCCGATCCCTCCCCGACCCAAACCAACTTCTTGTCCAACCGATCAAAGTTCCATGTACATTTTTTTCCATCACCACTCTCACCATATTAAAATAAATTAAATTAAACGAATTAAAAAAACAAAAAAAAGGAAAAATAAATAAAGAAACAAAAGAAATTTAAAAAAAAAAATGTATAGTCACGGAGACGGAGGGAGGGGCGCGTGAGAGCCCAGGGCTTATACCTGGACTCATTTCGCCCCCCCACACCCCCCTACCCCATCCCCCTACCCATTAGACACACCAGCTGTATCCCACCCCGACCCATCCCCATTAGACAGGAGATACTCTGACACCTATCGCGAGGGGGCGGCTTCTCCGGGGCTACCCGACCCCTCCCCTTCCCCATTCGTACTTTTCGAACTGAACGAGCTTTTCTCACATTTTTTTTCAATATTATTATTATTATTTTTATTATTAAACCAAAAAAAAAGGCAAAGTTGAAAGTCATGGAAGAAGGAGCGTGAGAGCCCAGGACGTAAGTTGGGCTTGTATCACCCTGTCAGCCACCTCACCCTGCCCTAGTTCCACCCTTCTCCACTGCACACACTAGCCCGGCCCTACCCAGCCCCTCGCCTCTTCCATAGGAGTTTCCCTAAGAATTATGCATAATATCTCGGAAAGTGGGGTTCAAATGGAAAAGCGTCGGTAGCCAACGGTAAACGGGGGAGTTGGATGTTACACCTGATAATTTATGTCGGGTGAATTTGAACAGTAGACTTGATTAAATAACTATCTATTAAGCACAATACGCATGGCCATATATGTGATTATGTGTATATCTACGTTTCAAATATACACAATGTAGATAACTATATATAACATCTAATTTTCCGGAAATGGGGCCTTTTTTTGCTTCATTATGCTGAACTTTTTCTGGAGCAGGCGTCAAACCTCAGTGCAACTAAATATCTTGACTTTGTAAGTTGTTCATCTCTTCTGGTACTTTGGACATAGATCAGGGGAAAATTGAATTTGTAAAATGATTCCTGCATTAAGTGATCTTCGACCAGTTGATTCTATTTTCGGAGTAGCTTTATTGGGATTAGTGTGGTCACTGTTCGTTCATTTTATAGTTCTCCTGGTCAATGAGTCAATAACGATTTAAAGCAATACCTGCATTATTTTTGACTAAAATACGACCTCTGTTTATATTAGACCTTTATATTGTTATAGCATCGAACATTCATGTACATTTTCCATATTTATGGTATTACCACTGTATGTTCAACAATATGTTTTAAGTAAGTATATTTATTACCAAAACTTCTCTCTCTCTGCAGCTTAATGAGGATTGGTTCTTTCCTGCCGAGGTTTCTCTCAAAAAACGCGACCATATTAGAAAACTGATTCATAGAATAGTCGAAGACAATGCTCTGAACGATCCTCCGACCACTCGTGACAAATGTTATCAAAATGGTACAGACGAGGACGACAGTGGTGTAAAGTTTGTTCATCAAACTGTTGCAAAAGATCAATTATGTCTTGGTATCAATTTAAACTCGTGTGATGACCTCAAAAATGTAATTGAGCAGAGAAATATTGACCAGTCAGTCATTATCGAAAATGTTCAGCCGTTGATGCCAGATAATCAGTTCAACACCATGAGTTTGCCGATCAAGGTAAACCCTCACAAACAAGCATTTATATTTCTATTTTCCATGCAGAGAAAACTTGGATAAAGCAAAATATGCTCAAAGTTTGACTATACATAATTTTCAAACCATTTCATTTCTTGATTGTTATATCTCGAACAGGAAATACTCGACACATCAAGCAAACACGAAACTGAGAAACTAAGGCCTCCACGCCATTATAGCCTTCGTAGTTCGAGGAGAGAAGAAATAAAGAAGGTTGTTTCGGAGGAAGCTTCTAGAACTTGTTCTAGCGAGTCGAGTGTTGTAATTGATGTGCAGAATGAGGAGAATCGTGTTTGTGATACTCAAGTAAAGTACGAGAATTCTTCAATGTCGAGTGAGGATCTTTCGGCATGTGTTGTTGAGGATTCCGAAGAAGAAAGTGAGATAGAAATAACCACCATCAGAAAGATCTTTTTATGTACTTTTTTAATTTATGTTTTGTGCTACCATGATATTTAATCCGTATAATTGGTTTTAATATTTTTGATATAAGTGTATTTTTTTTTTGTGTACAACTGTTGAATACAGGTTGAATTTGGTAATTGAAAAAATAAATAAACCAGAATTTATATATATAAAAAAAAAACTTGCGACTAAAATACAAAATAGTCGCAAACTGAAACTGTAGTAACTAGCGACGAATAAACAAAACAAATCGTCGCAAATAACTCGTGGTCTTGCGACGAAAACGGACATTAGTCGCAAAGATTTTCGCAAACGTAGCGACGAAATAATCACAAAACGTCGCTTAATCTAGCGACGAAAATATAATTCGTCGCACAAGGTTGCGACTTATTATCAAGGTTGTAAAAATCGGTAATCGGGTCCGAGTCGGTCAGGCACCGACTCACGATTAATCGGTGCGGCGGTGATTAATCGGTGATAAATCGGAAATAAATCGGTTTTTAAAATTTAATATAATATATTTCTAAATATTATTTATAAATACTCCAAACATATATAAAAATATATTTAAACATAGTTATATCTCCATCATGTATATATCCTAATAACATAATAAAAGTTTAATAATCATAAGATCATAATACATAAATATCCTTATAAAATATAAATAAAAAAATATTTTTTTTGAATTTACATTTATTTTTGAACATTCGTGGCATACATCATTAGTTCTTTAACAATAACAATTAGCATAAACAAAATAAGGCATAAACTCATATTTTCTTTTATTAAAATCCAACTTTTATTTTGAATTATAAAAAAAAAAAAAAAAAAACCGATTTTCAACCGATTTTTAACCGATTTTTGACCGATTTTTGCCACCGAGTTTGACCCGCCTTAAAGGTTTGACCGCCTCAGACCGCCTCGGACCGACTCAGACCGCTTAAAACCGCCTCACAGGCAAAAAACCGATTTTTCAAACCTTTACACTGAAATCGTAAAGGTTTTGGACCGCCTCCGCCTCGGAGACCGATTAATCGGCCGCCTCGGCCGATTTTTAGAACACTGCTTATTATTTGTTCGTCGCAACTGGTAAGCGACGAAAGTAGAGGATCCGTCGCGAACATTTGAAAAACATTTTTTTTTCCAGAAAATACGAAAGTTGCGACGATTTATGACATTCGTCGCCAAATTTGACGTCGAAAATGACTTTTCGTCGCAGACCTTGCGACGGTGCGTTTGGCGACATTTTTTGTAGGATTTGGCGACGAAAAAAATGCGTCGCAAACAGTAAAAAAATGTCGCCAAATGTACATTTTCGTCGCCAAATTTCGTCGCCAGTCGACCATTTTGGCCTAGTGGACGGACCCTCTTTACCTTAGGTGAAAACCCCGACTCACTCAAAAAATCCATCAATTAACTTTTTAACCTATTGATCAAAGCCTTAATTCCCCCTTTGTAAAACCCTAATTCACCAATCCCAATCTAAATAACTAAAGGCTTCATTGCACTTGATTCATGTGTTATGTTGAATTACTAAAAAATTGCCCCATGTTATTTTATTTGCAAATACCCCCCCCCCCCCCCCCCCCCCCAATATAATTTTATTTTTTAAGCTGACAGCCCCCTAAATAGGGATACTAATTGCTAAAATAATGAAATCATAGGGGGTTTTTACTACTATATATATGTATATATTTTTTATTAATTTTGTATTGTATTTATTAAGTCCACCCAAATTTTGTAATGCAAAAAAATGTTCTAAATTTTAATATTACTAAAACCTGGAAAGATATAGTTTTGATTCCTTATGTTTGTCTATGCAAGTATTTAGTTCTCTAATTTGACATGTTTCAATTTTACATGCAATAACTTTGCAAATACCAATGTTTTGAAAACCGGACCAGACATCGACCCGGCCAAGTTACTGGGTCACGGTTGGACCGGTCCGACCGGGGTCCAACCGGGTTTTTAAAAAAAAATTATCTAATTATTTTATTAATTAAATAACTTAAATATAATATATTTATATGTTTTTTTATATTTTTTTTCCACTTAAGACTAATTACTCCACTTTTTGGCTTTTTAATAAAAAAAGATTTTTTTTCTTCTTATTACTCTTCTCTCTCTCCCCTCTCTCTTCTCTCTCCTCTCTCTTCTTTCTTCTTTCTTCTTTCTTTCTTCTTCCGTCTGCTTCTTCCTCTTCACGGTTCACGCAGGTCTCCCAACATATGCCCTCTCTTCTTCCCTTCCTTTTTCTCCCTCTATTTTTTCTTTCTTCTCTCATTTTTCACACATACATAGATTTTTATCCACTTTTTTCTTTTTATTATTTTTTTCTTTATTTTCATTTTCACCTCCTCCTTTTTTTTTTTTTTTTTTTCCTTCAGTCACATTACATATGACCCAAATCCGATTAGATCCGTTCACCCACAGCCTTTTCCGGCAAGATCCAGTCACCGACGACCACCATCGACGCAGATCCGGCAATAAATTTTTTTTAAGCTAAAACCCGGTTCTTGAACCGGTTTCCGGGTTTCCCGGTTCTTACCGGTCGAACCCGGTTTTTGGTAGTTGACCCGGGTTTTTGGCCATTTTGGGTTTTCACTGATAACCGGACCGGACATGGCAGCGGTTCGCGGTTAAACCGGTCGGACCGGCCGGTCCGATCCGGTTTTCAAAACATTGCTCTATAGTGACAATAAATAAGGATTAAGTGACAACAAAAAGAGCTATTAGTGACAAAATAAATGGTGTCACTTAATGCATGCATTATGTGACAACTTTTGCATTTGTCACAATTGAGGTGTTACATTTTTCTTGTAGTGAGATTTTGTATCACTTTTAAGCTAGAGGATATTAATAATTAGTTTTCTTGGTAAATAAACTGAAAACAATTTATATTCTAATTATTACATTTGTTTTTCTTTCTAAACTTGATGAATTTTGAAGGGTGATGAGGCAAGAAACAAAGTGAATAGATGGGGCGAAGAGGAAACAAATGGCATCATCAAAGAAATACTTCCACCTGGTACAGTTACTCCAGATACTAGGCTTATCTTCGCTAATGCAATGTGTTTTAAAGGAGTATGGAAAAAAATATTCGATTCGTCTTTGACTAAAGAGCGCGAGTTTTACCTCTTAAATGGAAGTTCCGTAAAAGCACCCTTTATGAGCAGCGACGATAAGCAGTACATTCGTGAATTTGACGGTTTTAAAGTTTGGTGGCTACCGTATAAGCAAGGCGAAGACCGCGATCGCAGTTTCTCAATGTGTATCTTTCTTCCGGACGCCAAAGACGGACTGCCGGCCCTGCTAGAAAAAGTTTTCTCCGAGTCTCGATTTATCGAGAGCCACCTCCCGAATCATCCGGTCCAAGTTGGCGATTTTCGAATTCCAAAATTCAAAATAGGTTTTAAATTTGAGGCTTCGGAAATCCTCCAGGGGCTTGGAGTGGTGCTTCCTTTTCGTATGGGTGGTCTGACTGAGATGGTTGACCCGAGTATTGATGGAGAGAGACTCTTTGTTTCCGGAATCTTCCAGAAGGCGTTTATCGAAGTGAACGAGCAAGGCACGAAAGCCGAAGCTGTTTCAGCTGTTATGCTTGGTGGCGGTTGTCCGGAGAAATTGGATTTTGTGGCTGACCATCCTTTCCTATTTGTTGTAAGAGAAGATTGGAGTGGGGTGGTGCTTTTCATTGGCCAACTGCTTAATCCGGTTGATGAGTAGAACATGTGTTTTGTTTTCTCCTTTAATAAATTTATTTTTAATGTTTTAAATAAAGACTGAAGCTTTTGGTTTAATTAGAATTTTACACATATTTTATCCTTCTGTATTTGTTGGTCGAAAACCTACACGCAAGTGCACGTATCGTACAAGTAATATAGTGGACAGTTAAGTCCGGATATCGAACCCACAGGGAATATTTAATTATCTAATCCTAGACGCTAAATTCTACCAATTATTATCAAGCCCACCCTACACAGTCGAATAAGGTTTAATAAACTAAATTAAACTAAATTAAAAACAAGCAAAAACAAGAAAGCAATTTAAAATACGAAGATTAATCAAAGTAGACAGGCCTAGGATTTTATTCTTCCCCCTATGTGATTATTATTCCCCCAATTCCTTCAATTATGCAAGCAATTAACCCGGATTATTAACCTGAGATGCTAAAATAATCATAACCCGCTTCCGCGTGCATTAGGATTCTAATACTCTAGATTCAATTACTATATTCCTATGCAATTAATTCTAGAACACAGCATTAAGCACAAATCTCAATAATGGCTACCTAAGAGATTAACTATATTCCTATGTTAATACCACAAAGGATCTTCTACCACAGTTCTAATTATTAACCCGATCTTCCGATTCATGCGATTAACAATAACATAAAAGCGCATAAAGTGGCCAGTTTCATGAACTTAATAAAACAAGTAGAAGAAATAATCCGGAATTAAAACTTGCATAAAATCATAGAATTGGGTTCATAAATCCCACATAGGGTTCCAAATAAAATCCTAGAAATAAAAACTTAGCTACTCGTAATTCTTATGATAAATAAAATAAAATAAATTAATTAAATAAGAAAAACTATGCTTGAATCTTCGTTGATCTTCTTTGCTCTTGAATTTGCGTAAAAAGATGGATCCCCAATTGTGTGCTTGACTTGGTCTTATATAGGGTGAAGAACTTGGGGAAGAAGGCAGTTTCCTTGTGCAATTAAAATTCCTTTACTGCGCAACTTCGGATTCTCGGACGGGGGTCCCATGATTTGCACTAAAACTGGGACGGGGGTCTCAGCATTAAATCTTCAGACTTTTGATATTTTCACTTTTGACCCATATTTTCACCAAAATTGCAGTTTTGACCCCATACTTTTCCAATTCTTCAATTTGTACCTACAATACAATAAATCAACCTTTTAAGCACCAATTATCATTAAAACACACCAAAAGCTCAAATAAAAAGATACGATAAAGTGTAAAAATATACACTTAACACACCCCCTAACTTGAACTTTTGCTTGTCCTCAAGCAAAATCTACCAATAAGCAAATAACTCAACGATAACATCTCATCACATAGATCAATGATCAACTTCACGTTTTCAGAACTTGTAATTATAATGACAATTCTCAGGCATTCGCAAGCTCAAAATTCAACAACACTTAGTCACTCACCATTACCAAAAAAACACAATTCATACAATTGCTTCAAGCATCCAATATTTGCAAATTAAAGATAGAAAGAATTTATACTTACATGCATATGCTTGACTCCAAATACTCACCAAATTATTCTACTCTACTAATATCGAACATTAAGCTATTGGGATCATTGGGGCTTTGTGGCTTTCAATTGTTAGGCTCTTTGGTTTGAGGTAGGAAATATGGGTATGTGTGGCTATTCTTCTTGAATTTAGGTGATTACGCCAAAATTTGAAAGATAGGCGTTTGAAACAATGCATTCACCTCTACGGACTTTAATAAACTCGATTTCTCAAAAGTTCAAAAGTCTCCACTTTTGCTTTTGAGACAATGGATCGAGTTTTCAAAAAATAATTCAACAACTAGTCCTTATTTCTCCCTTCTAGTCTCTTCTTCTTCTCTCTTTTTTTTTTTTTTTTTTTAATATATATAGAGAAGCATATATATTTGTCTTCTTTTTTTTTCTTTTTTTTTTCTCTTTTTTTTTCACTTTTTTTTTCGAAGAAGAAGAAGAAGGACCTTATAAATTTTTTCGACCGAACTCCAAGGGATAATTTTCAAGAATCTCCACCTATTCTACCTTACACATTGGCTAAAAGAAAGAACACCTTTTCTCCAAGGCTCAAATCAAGGTTCTAAAGATAATTTCGATAAAAAGGTCGGCTTGAAAGGCTCAAACGGTTCAAAGAAGGCCCAAATCATATCCCAAATCACTCACTACTCAATACTTCGTATCATAAATTTCCTAAGGTGAGTCTTAAAACCGAACATAGCATGATCTAGCACAAATTAATTCCAAATTTAAAATACAAAACATTCAACCAAAGCAATGCACAAAATGTGATTCCTAGCAATAATTCGCTTCTAAGTCCCGTTGAATCGAAAGCTAAACAAACATGAAATCTTTATCACACAAAACAAGCAATTTCATCATCAAACATTGATCATCTCTCATCATCATAAATCATCGATGCATTCGACTCAAGCAAATTTTTTTTTTTTTTTCGGAAAAACGAGAAAAACAATAAAAACGAATAAAACCTAATGCATGCAAACTAAAACAAAAAATAAGCACAAAAATAACATGTTTTTCACACCCAAACTTAAAATTTTCGTTGCCCTCAACGAAATTAGCTCAAAGTTTAAGGATAGAAAACACCTGATTTATTCGGAGTCGGTGTGATCGGGGTGTTCCTCCCTAGCTATCTCATGCTCCTCATCATCGGAAATCTCTCTCGCTCCATCTTCATTCAGAATCGTCGATCGGTACGGGAGCTTGAGGCTTCGGGGTCGTCTCGGGCTTGAGGAGCGGCTTTGGAAGAGGAATCGTCGTTTTGGTGGCACTTTTCTTGCCTTTTCCTTTGCATTTAGAAGATGAAGCTTCTCTCGTGCGGCTTCTTTTGTTGGACAAGAAAGTTGGGAGAGAGGTTGGAATAGATTCGTTAAGAATTGGTTGACAATCGAACTCAAAATTTGGTTGGAGCAAATTATCGAACACCTTGTGGGCGTGTCTTGAAAGAGTAGATTTTGAAGATTTTGGTTCGATTCTCTTGCCTCCATTTGTGTGTGGGAGTTTGAGAGAAGGAATGAGGAGGGTTTAGGAAATAATGGGGGAGAAAATATGATTTTTAAACATTTAAAACGCCCCAAATAGGTTCGGACGGCCGTCCCGGTTTTTGTGCTAAATTTCGGACGGCCGTCCGAAATTTTTTTTTCCTTACTGGTTGTGGGACGGGGGTCCCACATTTACACCTATTTGTGGGACGGCCGTCCCACAGGCAGTGGTGCAAAAATTTTTTTTTTTTTTTTTTTTTTTTTTTTTTTTTTCAGACGGCCGACTCGACCCTCGATCACGTTTTCGACCCTGAAAAGTAAAATTCAAATAGTGAATTAGAATGCATGCTTATGACAATAAAAAAAAAACGAAACGAAAAAATTAACGAAAACTACGAAAAACAATAAAGCTCGGGTTGCCTCCCGAGAAGCGCTAAGTTTAAAGTCTTCAGCCAGACTTTGCTTCTTGAAATCGCTATGTCCAATCCAAAGCCTTGTAGATTGCGCACCCATCCATGAGCTTTGTCACTTCAATTGCAACCGATACATGGATAGGATTGCAATATGTCAGGGTCCACTTTAGCTTGTAAATTTTCTTGGTTGTAATCAATCGGTACGAAGCCAAGATGGGGTCTTCATCACCCGCTCCCTCAAATCGGTACACAAAAACCTCACATCCGCGTATAACCTCCACTTCAAACACATTCGTCTTCTCATCAACCTCTATTGATGCCTTCAAAGCCACGTCAGGAATAACAATAAGATCATCAATTTGAATATTTGCACTAACCACATCCATCCCCTTCTTCTCTTGTTCCGAGACATCTTTGGAGTTGAGCTCGATTGCATTCTCATATTCATCATCCTTAAGCGTCTTCGTAAGTTCCTTTTCCTTCTCATCGACAATATTTTCTAGGTCTAAAGGATTTTTCTCACTATAAGTTGTAGACGGATTTTGTTTGTTGCAACCATTCTCGATATTGTCTGAAATATTTTCAAGAGACCTCTTGAGCTTCATCTCTTCCAACATTATTTCCAGTCTTCGGATAGATGCTTGAGTGGATTTCATAAAATCTTCAAGGATAGATTTCCTATAACACTCCTCAATAGTGGGTTCTCGTGGCCTTGCATAATAGGGTTGAAAATCATCAAATTGCGGCTCTTGATGTTGAAAATTGTGGAAACCTTGGCTTGGAACGCTCTGCTCGTACGTGTTGGTGTATGTGTTCCAATAACCGCCGTTGGTATTATCTGTGAAATTATTCGCCTTCGGTGCATACCAACATTGGTTACTGTAATGATCTCCACCACATATTGAACAAAGTAACGGCATATCATAGGTATTTTGGAGGTATTCGCCAGACGGAAGCCATTCATATCCCGTTTGAGGTGCGCGAAAATTGTAACCTGACATGTAACCAAAGAAAAAAAATATATTAAAAAAAAAAATTAAAACGAAAAGATAAAATTAAAAAAAATTAATTTGGGTGAATCGTGAAAATTGTTCAAATTTAGAGCTAGAATAAAATAAATAATTAAAATAATCCCCGGCAACGGCGCCAAAAACTTGTTGGTCGAAAACCTACACGCAAGTGCACGTATCGTACAAGTAATATAGTGGACAGTTAAGTCCGGATATCGAACCCACAGGGAATATTTAATTATCTAATCCTAGACGCTAAATTCTACCAATTATTATCAAGCCCACCCTACACAGTCGAATAAGGTTTAATAAACTAAATTAAACTAAATTAAAAACAAGCAAAAACAAGAAAGCAATTTAAAATACGAAGATTAATCAAAGTAGACAGGCCTAGGATTTTATTCTTCCCCCTATGTGATTATTATTCCCCCAATTCCTTCAATTATGCAAGCAATTAACCCGGATTATTAACCTGAGATGCTAAAATAATCATAACCCGCTTCCGCGTGCATTAGGATTCTAATACTCTAGATTCAATTACTATATTCCTATGCAATTAATTCTAGAACACAGCATTAAGCACAAATCTCAATAATGGCTACCTAAGAGATTAACTATATTCCTATGTTAATACCACAAAGGATCTTCTACCACAGTTCTAATTATTAACCCGATCTTCCGATTCATGCGATTAACAATAACATAAAAGCGCATAAAGTGGCCAGTTTCATGAACTTAATAAAACAAGTAGAAGAAATAATCCGGAATTAAAACTTGCATAAAATCATAGAATTGGGTTCATAAATCCCACATAGGGTTCCAAATAAAATCCTAGAAATAAAAACTTAGCTACTCGTAATTCTTATGATAAATAAAATAAAATAAATTAATTAAATAAGAAAAACTATGCTTGAATCTTCGTTGATCTTCTTTGCTCTTGAATTTGCGTAAAAAGATGGATCCCCAATTGTGTGCTTGACTTGGTCTTATATAGGGTGAAGAACTTGGGGAAGAAGGCAGTTTCCTTGTGCAATTAAAATTCCTTTACTGCGCAACTTCGGATTCTCGGACGGGGGTCCCATGATTTGCACTAAAACTGGGACGGGGGTCTCAGCATTAAATCTTCAGACTTTTGATATTTTCACTTTTGACCCATATTTTCACCAAAATTGCAGTTTTGACCCCATACTTTTCCAATTCTTCAATTTGTACCTACAATACAATAAATCAACCTTTTAAGCACCAATTATCATTAAAACACACCAAAAGCTCAAATAAAAAGATACGATAAAGTGTAAAAATATACACTTAACAGTATTCTAATTATTTTGAATCTTACGAAACTAAAGATATTACACCATCAGAAACACGCACAAAAACACCGGATCCATCCTGAACCAGACGGACGTTTCAGTGATAGTTTCACTGACAAAGGACAAAAACCTCTTCATCTCACCGCCGATGACTCAGACAATATTTGGCTTGATTTTGCGCAGAGTTGACGTACAAAAAAAAAAAAAAAAGAGGAGAAAACATAGCCTTTTCGAGAAATAGCAGTTTTCGTGTAGGGTGGAGATCAAAATTGGAACTCTCTAACGCCTGATCATATCTTAAAACAGCTGCTCGTATCATTTGTGTTTAATTTTGATATTTGAGTTGTTAATTTGATTTTTTTGGGAATTGTGCTTGTGTATGTGCATCCATATAATGCGTAGATCAATTCTTTTCGATTTATCACAGGAGTTCCATAGACGGAGGAAGAGCATAGATTGGGAAAGAGGATTGAAGAGGAACCTCAAAAACATTATGTCGAAACTCGTTCACCAGCTATATAATCGTATGTAGTCATATGTAGTCCTGTATAATCATATATAAGATATGTAGGTTTTTTATAATGTACAATGATTCAAATGTAGGATGTTTATAATGTACATTGATTCATATGAGTCATGTATAATCATATATAAGATTTGTAAGTTTTTTATAAGGTTTTTTTGCAAAAAACCACCCCTATGTAATCTCGAATTGCTGAAAAAATACTCATGTTAAATATTTTAGCAAGAAAATTTTAAATATTTGAGTCATGTAAAAAACATTTTATGCCTGAGAGGATGTAAATACCCTTTAATTGAAAATTTCTGAAAATTACGTATTCACCTTGGAATTTTCATAAGCCCAAAAAGAAGTTTACAAAATTTTGAATTCAGTCCCTATTATTTTCAAAAAGACCCTCTCTTCAATCTAAAACCCTATGGCCAATCTCTTCATCGGACTATAAAAAAAAGCCCCCAAATCTTGACCCCTTAAAGAACAAAAAACTTCATTTCATTCTTCTCCAATGGATCAGCAAACAAAGGCTCAGAGACGAGGTAATTTACCTCTATTAGCGTATATTATTATTATTATTATTATTTATTATAGTTACCTTATACATTAGGTTACCTTGTATATTAGATTACCTTGTGTAGTAGGTTAGGGTTTCCTACATGTAACTATATATATTCTCAATATACGTAAGAGATATTATTCTCTCTTCTCTCCAAATATTCTCCTTCTATCATGGTATCAAGCCAAAAACCCTAAGGCCGCCGTTTCTCCCCTTCTTCAATTTTTTTTTTTCTCGTTCTTCTTCAATTTTTTTCCTTCTTCTCGTTCTCTCATCTGTTCTATATCCACCATGGCCGACGAAACACCAACACCGACCATGATTTCCAACCCTTTTCATCTTGCTCATGCCATATCCAACATCAAAGCTCTTATTCCTGTTACCCTGGATATTAAAAATCCGAACTATCAAAAGTGGAGTCATTTCTTCATCATCACCGCAGGCCGTTTCTGCCTCACCGATCTGCTTCTCGGAAACGCAAAGCCCACCAACATCTCCGCCGACGAATGGCAACGCGCGGATTACCTCCTCCAATCTTGGATCTATGGCACCATCACCGAGGACCTCTCAAGCATGGTCCTCTCCAAAACCGCAAAGGCTCCTGATCTGTGGAAGGCCCTCGCTTCTCTCTTTACAGACAACGAAGACTATCGGGCCATCCAACTCGAAGAACAGTTCAAATCCCTCAAGAAAGGATCTCTTTCGATCCATGACTATTGTCAACTTCTCAAAACCACTGCCGACAACTTGGCAGACGTCGGCAACCCCGTGTCAGACAAGCAACTCGTCCTCCAAACCCTCCACGGTCTACCAAAACATTACGGGACCATTGTCAACCTAATCTCCTTCCAAACTCCATTACCTTCTTTTCTCCAAACACGTTCACTACTCCAGATGGAAGAACAGCGCATCGCTGAACCGGAGCAGACCCCTACTGTTCTCTACGCATCTCGCCCCAACAGTTCCAACAGTTGGCCGAACAGTGGCAACAGTTGGCCGAACAGTTCCAACAGTTGGCCCAACACTCCCAGCAATTCTCGAGGTGGTGGTTCTTGGCGCAATCAGCGAGGTGGTGGTCGCACGAATCGTCGTGGCGGTCGTGGTCAGTCACGACATCCGATGCAACACTACGGTTACAATCAATTTCACCACCAATCGCAACCTTGGCGGGCCCCTTATACGCCTCAGACACCTTCATCGATTCTTGGACCCCCCCCAAGCTCTCCTGGTCCTTATCATGCTCCTACAGCTCATGCTTATTTCGTTGGACAGCAAGATCCCCAACAGCACGTGAACTGTTCCAACAGTTCGTCGAACAGTGGTCCCCTACAGCCAACAGATCTTGCCACTCATCTCAACACGTTGACCCTTCAATCATCGAGCGAACCTCAGTGGTTTATGGACACGGGCGCCTCATCTCACATGGCACCTCACTCAGGTAATTTCCATTTTATTTTTAATCCTAGTAATAATTTTCCCAAGCATGTCATCGTTGGTAATGGATCCACTGTTCCTATCCATAAAATTGGCCACACCATCCTACCCTCTACCCCATTTCGTCTAACCAATGTCTATGTTACTCCTCACATCATTAAGAACCTTGTGTCTGTCCGAAAATTCACTAGAGATAACTCTTGTTCAGTTGAATTTGACCCTTATGGCTTTTCTGTGAAGGACCTTCGGACCAGAGCAGTCATCCTCAGGTGCAATAGCTCCGGTGATTTATACCCTATTGGCGCCCCTTCTCCCAGCCCATCCGCAACCGCCCTCATTGCTCACACCACGTCTGTCTCCTCTACTACATGGCATCGTCGTCTCGGTCACCCGGGAAACCCTGTCATGTCTCGTCTTTTTTCTTCCAATTTAATTTCTAGTACCAAAGACCCACGGGAGTCTCTTTGTAATGCTTGTCAATTAGGCAAACATTCTCGTTTACCTTTCTTTACTAGTCATTCTATTACCGTTGCACCTTTTGAAATTATTCATGCTGATCTATGGACCTCTCCTATTTCTAGTATTTCTGGTTTCAAATATTACCTCGTGCTAATAGATGATTTCACCCACTATACATGGACTTTCCCCATACACTATAAATCCGATGTTTTCTCACTGTTCCAACAGTTTCACAAACTTATACAAACACAATTTCAGCACCCCATTAAAGCTTTACAATGCGATAATGGACGTGAATTCAAAAATACAGATTTTCAAACATATTTTGCCAAACACGGTATCTTACACCGTTTCTCATGTCCCCACTCTTCCCCTCAAAACGGACATGCCGAACGCATGATCCGCACCATCACAAACATGATCCGCTCACTTCTCTTTCAAGCTTCCCTTCCCCCCACCTATTGGGTCGAAGCCCTTCATATGGCTACACATCTCATCAACATCCTTCCTACCAAATCCACACAAAATCGCACACCACATGAATCCCTATACAAATCAAAACCCACATACTCTCACCTTCGTGTCTTCGGTTGTCTCTGTTATCCCAATTTAACCGCCACCACCCCTCACAAACTCGCCCCTCGCTCTACTCCTTGTGTCTACCTTGGTCACCCCTCATCGCACAAAGGCTATCGTTGCCTCGATCGGTCAACCGGTCGAATCATTATCTCCCGCCATGTGATCTTTGATGAAAGCCGTTTTCCATTCGCTGAATCCACCGACTCACCCCACAACTCCCCCACCTCTAATATGACCGAACCCCTGCACCCACTTCTCTTCCTTCCTCAGCCTACACAAGTCCAACCACATGTCTCACAAAACTGTCCCAATAGTTCGTCCAACAACAATACACAACCACCTACGGTTACAACCAACTGTCCCAACAGTTCGTCCGACAGTCCTCCCTCAACTACACCCATGCCCCTCCACCCGACTGCATCTCCACAACCAGCAGAACCACAGCCTCTCACTCCCACTTCCTCACCCCCACCCAACCATCCTATGTTGACACGCAGCAAGGCCGGTATTCACAAGCCCAAAATCCCCTTTTCTCTTACCGTGTCTACCGCATCCCAAACTCCCACTACATATCGCCATGCCCTCCTTGATCCAAACTGGCGTATGGCCATGCTTGAGGAATATACTGCTTTGATTAAAAATAACACATGGGATATTGTGCCCCGCCCCCCTTCTACTAATGTTATCAGTGGCAAGTGGTTATATAAGCAGAAATTGAAGGCTGATGGTTCATTGGAACGGTATAAAGCACGATGGGTTGTTCGCGGTTTTGATCAACGCCCTGGCATAGATTTCGATGAAACATTCAGTCCGGTGGTCAAACCAGCAACTGTTCGAACAGTTCTCAGTCTTGCTCTCTCGCGATCATGGCCTATCCACCAACTTGACGTGAAAAATGCCTTCTTACATGGCAATCTCTCTGAAACTGTCTACTGCGAGCAACCTCCCGGATTCGTCGATCCATCTCGCCCCACTCACGTGTGCCGTCTCAACAAAGCACTCTACGGCCTCAAGCAGGCACCACGTGCTTGGTACAAGCGTTTTGCATCTCACATTACTAGCATGGGGTTCAGAGAATGCAAGTCCGACACTTCACTCTTTGTGTACTGCCGCAACAGTTCCCGCGACTGTCGCAACAGTTCACGCGACTGTCGCAACAGTTCATGCGCCTACCTTCTGCTGTATGTCGATGACATTGTACTCACGGCCTCCACACCTGAATTGCTACGTTCTATCACCGCTGCCCTTACTCAAGAGTTCGCAATGAAGGATCTTGGCGATCTTCACTACTTTCTCGGCATCTCAGTCACTCGCTCGTCGAATGGGTTGTTTCTCTCTCAACGCAAGTACGCTGACGAGATACTAGAGCGTGCACACATGGCCTCCTGCAACCCTTGTCTTACGCCAGCTGACACAAAGAGCAAGTTGTCCTCAACCACTGGACCCCCCGTTGCTGACCCCACTCTTTATCGCAGCCTTGCCGGTGCACTGCAATACCTCACGTTTACTCGCCCTGACATCTGCTATGCTGTGCAACAAATATGCCTATTCATGCATGATCCGAGGGAACCTCATATGGCTGCTCTCAAGCGTATCCTTCGCTACATCCGTGGGACTCTCGATCACGGCCTTCAGCTCTCCCCCAATCCGGACCTCTCACTTATCGCCTACTCCGACGCCGATTGGGGTGGCTGCCCTGACACTCGTCGTTCGACATCGGGCTATTGTGTTTTCCTCGGCAACAACCTCATCTCTTGGTCCTCCAAACGACAGGTCACTACTTCTCGATCGAGTGCGGAGGCCGAATACCGAGCTGTCGCAAATGCCGTTGCCGAAACGACTTGGTTACGCAACCTACTTTCCGAGTTGCTCTGCCCACTTCCGAAAGCCACCATTGTCTACTGTGACAACGTTAGTGCCGTCTACCTATCCAGCAATCCCATTCAACACTCTCGTACGAAACATGTGGAGATCGATATACACTTTGTCCGAGACAAAGTTGCTTTGGGACACGTTCGAGTTCTTCACGTCCCATCCGCCTACCAATTTGCTGATATCTTCACGAAAGGTCTCCCCACTCAACTGTTCCAACAGTTTGTTTCCAGTCTCCACGTTCTCTCCTTTCCCGTTTCGACTGCGGGGGTGTATTAGCGTATATTATTATTATTATTATTATTTATTATAGTTACCTTATACATTAGGTTACCTTGTATATTAGATTACCTTGTGTAGTAGGTTAGGGTTTCCTACATGTAACTATATATATTCTCAATATACGTAAGAGATATTATTCTCTCTTCTCTCCAAATATTCTCCTTCTATCAACCTCCATTCCCTCTGGCACCAATGTCCCGTTAGAGCAGTTGTCGTCGCCGCCACGGCTGGAATTCACTACGGCAGCGCTGCTAATGAAACGATTTTTGTTTGTTGCTTTATATTATTTGCTTTGTGTTTGTGTCCGTGTGTCCGTGTTGCTGGGTTTTTTCGGAATCTTATCGGGGAACTTGTGACAATTCATTTTCATAACCCTTCATCTTCTTCTTATCTCTTCTTCAACGGTGGGTTTGGGATCGGCATCAAGAGTCGGATGAATCATCTATGACGGATCGGACCTCTCTCTCTCTCTCTCTCTCTCTCTCTCTCTCACATACACTGAGCTGAGCACACACACAAAAGGGAAGACACATCAGTGGGATTAGTTCCGTCTTGAAGTTTGCAGATTGTTAATTGTAACTTCATATTTGGATTCCTGAAACGATTGTTTTGTGAACCGGAGAAGGAATAGAATGAAAGAGATGAGGAAGAAGATTGGTCTGGACGCTGATTCACAATTATTTTCCTTAATTTAAATTGAGGGTAGTTTTGTCATTTAATGTAGGGGGCCGTGTACTTCATAAAATATAACATAGGAGGGTCGTTGCTAATAGAGGACTTTTTCGTCAATTCAAAATCACACAGGAGTTGTATGCAATTAACTCTGCGACTAAGAGTGTATTTTTGACCCAAAAAGCCCAAAATACCCTTTAAATTATAAATTTCCAGAATTATAAATTCACCCCAAAATTCTATATGCCCCAAAATGAAGTTATCAAAATTTGCAATTTAATTCTTCCCATTTGCAATAAGGCCACAATTAAAACCACAAACGTCACTCCAGCCGGCAACCACCTTCACACCAGCTCCAATGTCTTCCTCACTGGAAAACGTCATATGAAGAGAGTCACGGTCACCATCGTACTCACCTCCACCACGTCTGCCTCCATAACCACCTCCCTCACAACGTCCATATCCCCAACGTCGCCGCCGTGGACCTTTTAAACTGCTGGTAGACGGTAGCTCTCCGACGTGTGTGCGGGGGTGGATGCACCATTTGAGGAATTTAATAGAAAGTTGTTTGGGTTTCGATTTTTTTATTTGAGGGATTCATTTTTTTTTTTTTGATTGAATATTTTTATTTTGAATTCAGGATAATTTTTCATTTCATCCGGGACAAGAAAAAACAAAAAAGTAAAAATGTGCTTTGTAAAATTTAACATAGGGGTACAATATATTGATGAGTAAGGATTTACTCCGTGGGTTCAATAAACAAAAGAAAGCCCATAAAAGAAACGTAGTGCTCAAGACTCTAAACCTAACAATTCTCTAAATTTTTTTAACTATATATATATATATAAATATTTCACTATTCAATGTATATTATTATTTCCAAGTGTTTTAACAATTCGATTAACAATGTCGCCACCGTCCAAATTGGAACGCGTTAGCAAACGGAAAATCCAGAAACGCCGTCACAAGAAAACGGACAATCGCACCACCAAAAACACGCACAACGGCGGCGGAGCACCAACGGAACCCATCCCGGTCAACGAGGCTGACTTTTCCTTATCACTGTCAAACCACGTCATCTCCACCTTCGCTAAAGACAAAAACCTCGTAATCTCGCCCTTGTCTATTCGGGTCTTACTAGGCTTGGTTGCAGCCGGGTCGAACGGCCCGACCCGGGACCAGTTGCTGGGTTTTCTCAAGTCAGACACCGTTGAAGAACTCAATTCTTTCTCTTCAAATCTCGTGACTCACGTGTTCGCCGATGGAGAGCCCCTTGGCGGGCCCCGTTTGTCGATTGCCAACGGCGTCTGGATCGACCGGAGTCTCCGTTTGAAACCCTCTTTCGAAGAAATTGTCCACAGCTCTTACATGGCTGCTTCTGATCATGTTGATTTTCGGACTAAGGTTAGTTTCTTTGAATTCATTAATTTGTTTTGTGTTTTTGTTTTTGATGCAAGTTGCTACTCTTAAACTTGACACCCTGAGGTATGCTTAAAAAAATTAAGATCCCTATAGTATTGGTAATTACAATTATCATCCTGAAAAATTGTTAGAAACCCTAACAGAATAATGCATTGAATAAATTATTCGGTTAGGATTCTAATGGACTATTAGTTTCAGGCAGTGGTGGAAACAACATAGAGTTAGGGGTAACTTAACTCTCCTAATATTTCTTAAATCTTTATTATTTTATATAAGATTTATATATTTTCGTCTATGGTAGTGTTAACGACCCCACGAGAAACAAATATAATGAATATCGTCAAGACATGAAATTTTAGCTCCAGTAATTGTTTTAGGGGTGTGGCTGTATTACCTATACTAGAGGAATCTTAAAGTTATTTTAACATATCTCAGGGGTGTAGGTGTAATTTACGCAAAATAATAAAAGAAAAATAAATAAGAGAATTTTTGATGAATAATTGTATGATTGTCTAATATGAAAAAAAATATATTATATTAAAGAAATGTCATTAAGTTTTATTTTGTGTTTCTTTTTATGACATCATTAAAATAGAAAGGGTAAACTTAACCCCTGTGGTTAAGGGTTTTTGCAGATAGTTCCTTTATATCGGTAATATCAACACATAACTCCTTATGGTCGATAGAGGTAGTGTTGTTTAGGTTCTTTATCCAACTTAACCACGCATACCAAAATTCAAGGAGGTCATCCCGCGGTTAATTTGATGGAAAAAATAATGAAAGTTATCCCTATCAACCACAAGGATATTATGTGCTGATAATACGAGCACAAAAGGATCATCAGCAAAAGTTTGTAACCACAGGGTTATGTGCTGATATTTGTTGAATTAAATTAATGCCTTATATTGAATTGCTAAAAAACTCCTCATGTTATAAATATTTGCAAAAACCTTTATAATGCATTTTTGTTAGCATACAACCACATTCAAAGGGAGTTTCCGGGACTCGTTTGCCAAAAATAGAATAGTAAGGGGTTGTTTGCTAATAAAGTAACATGGAAAGTTTTTTAATAATTTGCCGATTTTTCTTTGAAGGCTGACAAGGTAAGGAAAAAAGTGAACGCATGGGCTGAAAAGGAAACAAATGGCCTGATCAAGGACCTACTTCCACCTGGTTCAGTTGATTATATGACTAGGCTTATCGTCGCGAACGCAGTGTATTTTAAAGGAGCTTGGTTAGACAAATTCGATACATCGCATACCAAAGACGACAAGTTTTTCCTCTTAGACGGAAGCACAGTTAAAGTACCTTTCATGACCGACCGCAGAATGCAGTACGTTCGCGCGTTCGATGGGTTTAAGGTTTTGAGGCTACCGTACAAACAAGGTAAAGATAAACGCAAATTCTCAATGTATTTCTTCCTTCCGGATGCCAAAGACGGGCTGCCAGCTCTGCTGGAAAGAGCCGGGTCCGAATCCGGATTCATCGAGAGCCACCTCCCGGAGTATAAAGTGAGTGTTCGCCGATTTCGAATCCCGAAATTTAAAATAGGTTTTGAGTTTGAGGCTTCGAGAATTCTAGCGGGACTTGGAGTGGTGCTTCCTTTTCGTATGGGTGGTCTGACGGAGATGGTTGACTCGGATATTGATGGGAAGGAACTTTACGTTTCCGGAATATTCCAAAAGGCGTTCGTCGAAGTGAACGAGCAAGGCACAGAAGCTGCGGCCGCTTCTGCTTTACGCATGATGGGAGGCTGTATGAGGAATAGTGTGAAGATTATTGAGTATGTTGACTTTGTGGCCGATCATCCATTCATGTTTGTTATAAGAGAAGATGTGAGCGGGGTGGTGCTTTTCGTAGGGCAGTTACTTAATCCGACTTGTTGATGCTTAATTTGAAGTAGTATGTTACTTCAAGAAAAGCGGAAACGGAAGGAAAAAAAATAGTGATTTCAAGACAACTTTTCCTTCACCAAACATAGTTATTTCTTTGAGTAGGTTTTTTTTTTTTTCTTCTTTGTTTTTAACTATAGTTCTTTGAGTAGGTTTTTTTTTTCTTCTTTTTTTTTATGCAAGTTTTTTGTAACATAGGAGGATTTGGTGCATTGTTTTCCAATAAAGGGGGTCTACGCAAAATTATTTTCTCAAATTAAGTCCAATACATCTATTAATTTAAAAGATGAAAAATAAAAAAAGATAATATTTTTGAGATCGAAGTTGGAACGAATTCTCAAATTATTCATGTTCTTTTCACATATAATCAAGGGTAAATTGCATTAAACCACTTGAATTTTGCATGTTTTTGCGATTACCACCTCAACAAAAACAAATTGCACGGGCACGCCCTTCAAGCCACTTAACCACATGTATCTAATTTTCATGCGAATATTGGAATATTCCGGTGGGATCTAATTTTCATGCAAATATTGGAATATTCCGACGGGATTTTTCATTTTTTTCACCTGAATATATCACTTGAGAGCAGTGTTCTAAATATCGGTCGTGGCGGCCGATATATCGGCCGCCATATCGGTGGCGGACATAAACCTTTACGATATATGTGTGGCGGTTTTGAAAATCGGTTTTTTGACGGTGAGGCGGTCCGAGGCGGTCTGTGGCGGTCTGTGGCGGGTCAAACCGATATATCGGGTCAAACTTCGAACGATATATCGGAAAAATATTTTTTTTTTTTTTTTATTAGAAGGAAAATAGGGTGTTTATTTTTTATTTTTTTATTTTTTTTAATTCTAATTCATTATCTCTTTCAATCAAACCCAAAATTACCGACCCCGTAAGAAGAACCTGACCTTGAAAAAAAAAAACACAAAACAATCCACACACCGCGGCGGCATTCTCTATCTCACTATTATTAAACTTTTGTTATGTGATTAGAATATATAAACGATGAGGAGAGAATCATGTTCAATTTTTTTTATACGTTTTTATGTATTTACAAATAATATTTAGAAATATATTACACTAAATTTAAAAACCGATTTATTTCCGATATATCTCCGATTAATCACTGCCGCGCCGATTTATCGTGTGGCGGTCCCTAACCGCCTCGGACCCGATAACCGATATTTAGAACCTTGCTTGAGAGTGAAATTAAAAGTTTTAAGGACTCAATTGAACTAGATTTAAAACTGGCCAAAATCGTCTAATTCCCCTAATATTCCATTTCAATCGTAAAATTTTACATGAATCACATCCTGAAACCACATCATAACATAGAGTTAGGGTGTGACATGGCTCCCCCAATATTTCTTAAATCACCTATAGCTCTTTGTTGTCTCCACCACTTTCTGAAACTAATAGTTCGTTGGAACTCTATCGGAATAATGTGTACAATGCATTATCCCATTAGAGTTTCTAACAACGTTTCAGGGGTGTGAGTGTAACTATCGGTACCACAGGGACCTTAAAGTTATTTCAGCATATCTCAGGGGTGTGGGTGTAATTTACCCTATTTTTTTAATCACGTGTGACGCCCAACTAACCGGATCTCTGCAGTCAAGAATAGAAACCTAAGAGTTTTTTTGCCTTGCACCTCAAGAACACGCACTATTACACCTCCAGAACCACACACTGAACAGCAGACATATACAATGGTAATTACCTCCAGCCAGCGCCAATCCATCCTCAACCAGGCCGACGTTTCCTTGTCTCTTGCAAGACACGTCATCACCTCCCACGCCAAAGATAGAAACCTCGTAATCTCGCCTCTCTCAATCAACGTCGTCTTGGGCATGCTTGCGGCCGGGTCGAACGGCCCGACCCGGGACCAGATTCTGCGATTTCTGAAATCCGGTTCCATCGAAGAGATCAATTCATTCTCGTCCGAGATCGCCACTCACGTGTTCGCCGACGGACAGCCGCTCGGTGGGCCCCGTTTGTCCACCGCTAACGGCGTTTGGATTGACCAGAGCCTCCGCCTAAACCCCGCTTTCAAAGAAATTATCAAGAATTCTTACAAGGCTGCTTCTAATAACGTCGATTTTCAGAATAAGGTTAGTTTTTTTCAAGATTTCTTGATCAACATTGGGAATTATATTATCTTGTTGGTATTATCTTGTCTTGTGTGTGTAGGTGCAAAGATTTGTACCTAACTTTGCTAATAAGACTGAAAACAACAATTTACAGTAGAACCTCGATAAATTAATAATCTGACTTAAATAATAATTTTTATTCAGTCCCGATTCGGTAAAAATATACTAAATTATTAACTCGATAATTTAAAATTACGGTAAATTAATAGAATTTTGTTTGTCCCGACTGTATTAATTTATAGAGGTTTTAAGTACCGCATATGCAAATTATTACATCTTTTTACGTTGAAGATTTTCAAAGGCGGAGCAAGTAAGGAAAGAACTGAACGAATGGGCTGAAAAGGAAACAAAGGGCCTCATCAAAGATATGCTCGAACCCGATTCGGTGAATTCTTGGACTAGCTAGGCTTATCTTTGGGAACGCAGTGTATTTTAAAGGAGATTGGGAAGACGAATTTGATGCATCAGTGACTGACGCCCACAAGTTTTTTCCTCTTAAACGGAAGCTCGATTCAAGTACCGTACAAGACGAGCACGAAGAATCAATGCATTCGTGAATTTGGTAGATTTAACGAACTTTTTATGACAAGCTACGAGGATGCCAAAGTCGATGGTTTTAAAGTCTTGAGACTACCATATAAACGAGGTCAAGATCGCGAACTTAAATTCTCAATGTATTTCTTTCTCCCGGACGCCAAAGATGGGCTGCCAGCTTTACTAGAGAAGTTCGGGTCCGAATCCCGATTCATCAAAAACCACGCCCCGCAAAGTCTAGTGGAAGTTGGCGAATTTCGAATCCCGAAGTTTAAAATAAGTTTCGATTTTGAGGCTTCGGGGGTTCTTCGAAGGCAGGGAGTGGTGCTTCCTTTTTGTCAGGGTGGACTAGCGGAGATGGTGGACTCGAGTATTGACGGGGAGCTTCTATGCGTTTCCGGAATCATCCACAAGGCTTTCATCGAAGTGAACGAGAAACGCACGGAAGCTGCGGCAGTTACCTTTACTGGCATGTATGGTGGTTGTTGTGGGGAGAAGAAGAAGATATATGATTTTGTGGCTGACCATCCTTTCCTATTTGTTATAAGAGAAGATGTGAGTGGTGTGCTGCTTTTCGTTGGCCAACTACTTAGGTGGTGTTTGCAAATGTTTTTTGAAAGTGATTATGCGGTTTTTTTTGCTCATAATCTGTTTTTAGGTGTTTGCAAAATCAACTTTTGCTTTTGCTTCTCTTAAATAATCTGCTTTAAGCTATTTTTTTAAAAGCACCCATAACCCTGCGTTTTCAATTTTAGTTCATTTTCCGAAATATTTGCAAACACCCCCAACTTTTAGAAATAAGCACTTAAAACTAACTTAAATCACAATCACTAACTTCTGCTTTTAAATAATCACTTGCAAACACCACCTTAATCTCCTTGTGGTTAATTATATGTATTAGGTGGTATTTGCAAAAGCTTTTAGAAATAGATTATGAGTTTTTTTTTTTCTCTCATAATCTATTTTGAAGTGTTTGCAAAACCGACTTTTGCTTTTGCTTCTCTTAAAATAAGTTGTTTTAATCTACAATTTTAAAAGCACACATATACTGGTTTTTCTATTTAAATTGATTTTTCAGATTTTTTGCAAACACCCCCAACTTTTAGAATTAAACACTTAATACATAATCATTAACTTATGCTTTTAAATAAGCTTTTGCAAACACCACCTAAGTACACAAAGCATTTTTTTTGGGCTAATTTTAACGGTTTTTTTCAATAACATAATTACTCAATCAATGCATGTTTTTTTTCCCATAATATTGTTCTGTCAACATAAATGATTCATGTTTATTTACTGACGGTGAATTGAATCATAAATCAAATGTTTACGTGCGTGATAAGCTTCGAGTTAGTTTTGTTTGCGTTTATTAAACGCAATGGCGACAAATAAAGCAAAGTATAATCCATCGTTGAATCGTTTATATAAGAAACCCCAAGAAAACTAAATATTCCAGTCTTCTGTTATAAATATCCGATCAATTCTCATCATTGAAGATTTGGACGTATTTACGATGTTGGCAAGCAAGCAACCCAAATTTGGGCCTCATATTATCCCTCATCAAGAACACGCACAAACAACCGACACATGATCGACGACCTCTACGAATCAATCTCCAACCACCGCAGATCCACCAACTAGAGCGATGTTTCCTTGCACGTGACTTTTCCGTCCAAACTAACAGCAATTTCAAACGATGGACGGAAATTGTAAAAGAACTGATTATTTGAGTATCAATTTCGTGCCAGAAACAATTTAAGAACCTAAATCGTAAAATGTGTATAATATAGGGACAAAAAATGTAATCATCCGGCATCCCTATATTCTGATGACTTTTTTCATTAGACCCATTCTTTCTCCACAATTTACAGTTGTCCCACTTTCATTGTTTAATAATAATTTAATATATTTGCTCAAAGCCCGTTTAAATACAAGATCAAATATTTCATCTCCATCATCAATTCATTATAGACGTATCACAAATGGAGCTCTACAGAGAATCCATTCTAAACCAGACTGATTTTTCATTTTCACTGGCAAAGCAACTCCTCTCCACCGATTACAAGGACACAAACGTCATTTTCTCGATGTTGTCGATCCATATCATGTTGGGCATGATTGCGGCCGGGTCAAAAGGGCCGACCCGAGATCAGATGCTGGGGTTTTTCAAGTCCAGTTCCATTGAAGAACTGAACTCGCTCTTGGGACAGCACGTGACCAAGGTGTTCGCCGACGGTGAGCCGCTTGGTGGGCCCCGTTTGTCCTTGGTCAACGGCATTTGGGTTGACCAGAGTCTCAGCTTTAAGCCCTCTTACAAAGAAATTGTCGAGAATGGTTACAAGGCTGCTTCTTATCGTGTTGATTTTTGGACTCGGGTTAGTTTTCTTCTTCTCTTTTATCTTTTAGTTAGTCCATGGATTAAAGCTAGTTCTCTGATGATCGATAATTATCATCAACGACGACGTAGTATTTGTCGATGTTAAATTGTATAGTAAAATCCATATCTCTTTTTTTTTTTTTTTTCATAAAATCTCATTTTCTGTTAATTATATGGAAAAGGATATATAATTATATATTCATGCATTCAGTGGCGAGTCGAGAAATGTGTTACGGGGTGGGCTTAAATATTCGGGGTCCGGGGGTTTGCATTAATTTGAATTTTGGATGGGCTAATTAATAATAAATGTGGCTTTTTTTTTTATTTCAATTTTTGGTGGGCTAATTAATATAAATTGGAGGGCTTAATCAATATATAGGTATAATATGAGAAAACATTTGCAAATTAAGGGTGGACTCGCCCCTGCATGCATTGTTTGTTTGGATTTCATGCATTTTTTCTTGATCGTCTTGCTTCTTCTCTCTTGAAATATGGGTTTTCTAGTTGTTTTCAATATTTTGTTTGGATTATGAGTTTTCTGCGTTTTTATATACACAAAAAATTGAGGGGTAAAAGCGTTCGAAAAAGTGAAACATTGAAAACATACTCATATATACATGAGAAACATTGAAAACATTATATATACATGAGAAATTCAAAATGCCACTTCATCATTCACTAACAGATTGTAGAATGCAAATAGAACGACAACTTTGTTACATTTTGCAGTTCAGTGGAATTTGGTACGACTACATAGTTTAGTGGTGTAAGCTTAATTTTTCCCAAAATTTAATGTGGTTGGGATACAATTTTACCTCAAATGGGTATTCATTTTACGTTTACAACTATAGGGATTATTCAATAAACAAAAACTAACGTCATTTGTTTAGACCACATCGCTGGATCAAAATGAAAATTAAAACAACTGCCTAAATATTTTCTCCGAGCAATTAGCTCGATGGAGGCCAAAAAAAACTTGATCTCCTGTTGCTCTCTTATTCATACATCTTTTAAATGGACAAATTAACAATGCATAAACCCCCTTTGTGTTTTAGAAAATTTGCACCAAATCTCTGTTAGAAAAAAAAATTGAATTCTTGAATTAAGGTCTTGAAATTAACCGCGTTAATTATTAATGAAAAATGAGATTTTGTGCAAGAAAAATGAAAACATATAGAGTTTTACATAATAAAATGAAGTTAGGCAAATTTTAATAACCGTAAAGTTTTCCGAAGTTTACCGTGTGTTACAGTTTAATTATAATTATTGTATTTTGTTATCTTGATGATTTTTGAAGGCTGATGAGGTACTAGAAGAAGTGAATAAATGGGCTGAGAACGAAACAAACGGTCTCATCAAAAATATACTAGGACCTGGTTCAGTTGATGCTAGCACTAGGCTTATCCTCGCTAATGCAGTGTATTTTAAAGGAATGTGGAAGGAAACATTTGATGCGTCAATGACTAAAGACGACGAGTTTTTCCTCTTAAATGGAAGCTCAATTAAAGCACCTTTCATGACAAGTGGGGAAAGGCAATATATGCGTTATTTTGAGGGTTTTAAGGTGTTGGGGCTGCCATATAAACAAGGTGAAGATAAACGCAAATTCGCAATGTACATCTCTCTTCCGGATGCAAAAGATGGGCTTCCATCCTTGATAGAGAAAGCCGGCTCCGAATCTGGATTCATCGAGAAACACCTCCCACTTCGGGATGTCGAAGTCGGTAATTTCCAAATTCCAAAATTTAAAATAGAATTCGAATTCGAAGCAACAAAAGTTCTGAAGGAGCTCGGAATGGTGCTTCCATTTTCAAGTGGTGATCTCACTGAAATGGTGTACTCAACTATAACTACACAGACGGCGAATTTGTTCGTGTCGAAATTTATCCACAAGGCGTTTGTTGAAGTGAACGAGAAAGGCACGGAAGCTGCAGCGGTTTCGATTGTTACTTTTGACACTTCACTAATTAAGGATAAATTGGATTTTGTGGCCGACCATCCTTTCATGTTTGTTATAAGAGAAGATGTGAGTGGGATGATACTCTTCATTGGGCAGCTTCTTGAACCCTCCACTAGTTAATTAACGGCACATTTAATTTTATTACCTCTTTTGATTTTGTGGTTTGGATTGATAAACGTATTGAGTGATTGATATATTGTGGTGAATATGATTGTTTAATATAATGAGTTATTTGCACAGACCCCTCTGTGTAATGTCTATTGGTTAAAAAATCGTCTATATTAAAACAATTAGTACATACGCCCATGTTAGTCGATTGTGTGCTACACGCGTCAATTATGTGACTGGAAGTGTGTTTTTTGTCCCGAAAAATATCAAAGTACCGGAACAGGAATTGGAGCAACAGCCTTGTACGAGGGGGAGAGGTGTTGTAGACTTGCAGTCGCCGATTTATGAAGAAGACGACTTCTTTTGTTTTGTTTTTTTTTTTCCTATGATTTATTAATATTTAAATTTTTTATTTGTATTTTGTTTGTTTTAACATATTTTAGATAAAAATTGATATAGTCAAATAAACTTATTATAGAACATATTTAAAATAAAACTAATGAAATAAATAATACTTATAACAGAATATTTTATAAATATTTAATATGATTTATTTAATTTTCTATTATTTTATGTTTGTTTTATCTATGATTTATTAATATTTAATATATATTTTATTTTATAAAATTCCAATTGAAAAAACTAAATATTAAAAGTTATTACAAAACATAAACTGGCCTTTTTTTTTTGGGTGTGGGGAGTTTTTGCTTTACCTTTTTCAGGGGTAGTATACTTATTTCATTTCAGTCAACTAGCTTTATTTAGATAAGGGTCAGTGGACTAAATAAACTACAGTAGAACCTCGATAAATTAATACCCGATAAATTAATAACCTCGCTTAAATAATAAATTTTCCCGGTCCCGACTCGGGGACAACGTGCTAAATTAATAATTCGCTAAATTTATAAGATAATACACATTTGAAAAAATTAAGAAGCCCCGTATAATATATAAATTAATAATGCATAAAAATAATTCTTAAAGTACATGGTATAGTACATGGTTTATAGATCTATGAAAGCTTAATACAATATAATTTAATTGTTGCTTGTTTCTTGTTGAAGTTCACATTACCATCAATCTCGTCCCTCACTTTTCTTAACATGGTTAGAACTTTTGGTATTGTTTTGTCGTAACTCAACATAAAATCTATCTATACCATTGCTACTTTAAGAGATTCCGTTCGTGAAACGAGCTCTATAATGCATTGAACTAATGGTACAATGAATAATATACACGTAAAAAAATTAAAAAAAATGGATTTATTGAAAATAAAAATAAAAGTAATTTCATAAATTAATAATTTATTAATTAATGTATAAATTAATAATTATTAATTTATCGATAAGTTAATATTTCGCTAAATTAATGAAATTTTGATGATCCCAACAGTATTAATTTATAGAGGTTTAACTTGTACATGGGGAGATATATGATAAAATTTAGGGAAAAGTACAGTTTGCACCCTTGAACTATGGTGCTTGTCTCAAACACCTCCTTAAACTACTAAACGTACCAATATAACCCTTATCATTTATGGTCAACGGCAGACAAACTAACTCCGTGACTCCGTGAGTTTCCTTGTGCATTTATTTATTTACCCTTAAGAAAACTAACACCAATCACCACCTCTCTCTTGGCTTTTTTTATTTTAAAAAGTCTCTTTTCTGTTCCTTTTCTTCTTCATTTTGAGCGAGGAAAACATGGCAGTAGCAAGTACCAACTAAGCTTTTCCAAATTCTCTGCCATAAGGTAAATTAACACAAATTTAAGAAAAGCCAACAAACTTTATAACCTAGTTTATAAATTTACTTTGACTTTTGGAGATTAACACAAAATTCAAGAAACCCATAAAATCTCTATTTTTGGAAGTGAAATCAGCGGATTTGTGCAGGGATTTGGCGGCGGACTACGCAGTGTGAGTTGTGTGATAGTGTATTTTGGGCGGTGTTGTTTGGGTAGTGGGATCGTTGCGCGACTGGCAGTGAAAGATTGGGTGGCAGAATTCGCACAACGGGCTGTGCGGGGATCCGACATCGGCCTACGGTGGCGTGACGTTTGTGCCAGTGTATTTTCCGCGGTGATGTCTTGGTTGTGGAGTGGATGCGGGACTGACAGTTAAAGAGGAGCGGTGGTGACGGTGGTTTTGGTGAAGAAGGGAGAATTAGGGCTGACATAATATATTTTGTAAAAGTGCAATTTGATCCCCTATGTTTCGATCATCCCTTAGAGCAACTCCAATGGTAAAAATCGATCATCAAATATTAATTTGATACTCGTTTTATTATTTTGATACTCGTTTACTCCAACCGCAAGCATTAAATGAATCATCTAATTTTAAATATAAGCATAAATATATTTAATAATTACACGTGTCAATTTTTAATTGGTTTGTTGGGTAGTTAATGTTTTGATACCTCTTTTTCCAGGATGCATTTGTGCATCTCGGGGAGTTGAATATCAAAATAACTACCAATTTAATTCCCTCATTGGAGATGAAAATTTATATTTTGGAGCATCAAAATAGAAGTTATTCCATTTTAATTCCCCATTTAATTCCTCCACTGGAGTTGCTCTTATTTAAGGTTAATTTGAACAATTAATTTTTTTATTTAGGTACCCATGTTTTCTACAAGTGCATTTTAGTCCACACAACTATATATATACCAATCTGAGGGGCTAATCCGTCAAAACAATTTCCAACGGTCATAAAACTACTACAAACCATAAAGTCAACATGCCACATCATCACACACTAGGGGCCATTTTGGTATTTAGGGAGGTGTTTGTGACAATATACACGCTAATAGACCAATTCTTGCTCCACAATTGTCAACTGTGTCCGTGTCGATATATATTTGCTGAAAGGCCTTTTAAAAACCAGATCAAATATTTCATCTCCATCATCAATTCATCATAGACATATGAAAAATGGAACTCCACAGAGAATCCATACTAAACCAGACCGATATTTCCTTCTCACTGGCAAAGCAACTGATCTCCACCGATTACATGGACAAAAACGTCATTTTCTCGCCGTTGTCGATCCACATCTTGTTGGGCATGATTGCGGCCGGGTCGAAAGGCCCGACCCAAGATGAGATGCTGGGCTTTTTCAAGTCCAGTTCCATTGAAGAACTGAACTCGCTCTTGGCGCAGCACGTGACCAAGGTGTTCGCCAACGGCCAGCCGCTTGGTGGGCCCCGTTTGTCCTTGGTCAACGGCGTTTGGGTTGACCAGAGTCTAACCTTTAAGCCCTCTTACAAAGAAATTGTCGAGAATGGTTACAAGGCTGCTACTTACCGTGTTGATTTTCAGACTCAGGTTAGTTTCCTTTTTTTTTTCTTGCATAAAATATCGTTCCCGTTGAATATAAAATGAGATTTCATGCATCTTTTTATGTAGGGGATCACTATTTCAAATCCCAAATTTTGCTTACTTGAATACCAAAAAAATAAAAAATAAATAATTAATTGTAAATTACTTTAATACCCTTAATGAAATTAAAACCAAAAAAATATTACAAATATTATTTTTCTTTCTTAAATAACAAATAATCAAAAACTCAAAAAAACCATTTCCCTCCTCCACCTCCTTCTTCTCCCTCCCCAAAAACCCTTCTAAAAAATCTTCCTCACAACAAACCCTTCTAAAAAATCTCACAACAAACCCTTCTAAAAAATCTCAAAACTAAAGAAATTAAAACCTCACAAAACTTATAAAATTGAGTTATAAGACAATAATATGGTAGTATATATGAAAGGGGAACACATTAAGGTAAGTATCGATGTCTTTTTTGAGCTTCGAAGTCGATTTTGAAGTTTTTTTTTTTGAAACCCGCCGGCAATTTTCGACACATACAGGTGGATTTTTTGGTCAATTTTCGACACCAACGTGTCGAAAAAAAAAAAAAAAAAAAAAAAAACAAATTTCGACACCTACCTGTCGAAAATTCTCCAAATTTCGACAGGTATGTGTCGAAAAAAT